GGTTTGATTCCAAGTTGCCAGAAGCCTGCTTTTATGTCAAATTTGGAGAAGACTTGGGCCTGGGGAAGTCTTTGAAATAAGACCTCTCGCTTTGGTAACAGAAACTTGTCATCAGCGAGGAAATGGTTGAGTGGCTGGTAGTTTATAACCAGTCTCAAATTCCCTCGAACTTGTTATGCTCTCTTGTTGACATAAAAAGCTTCACACGCCCATGGTGAAGTAGTCTTCTCAATGAGATCTTCCTTCTGGAGTGGGTTTACTTCTTCGAGTGTAAGATTGTAATGATCTGGATTCATTCCAAGGTGGCTCGCCTTAGTCGGATTGACATCCTCATTTTTCTTGAAAGGTAATGAGATGAAGAAATTTGGATTCTTCCAAAGAGGCGAAGCGCATTTGGTTAGGAACTCTGAATGAGAGGTGGCGCATGAGGTTTTTTGCAATCTCTTCCTTGATAGGATTAAGGATCTCCAAGGGGTATAGATGGGAGATTGAGGTCCAGGGTAAAACATGGTTTTTGTGTTTAAGATCTTTAGGGTGCCAAGACACTCTTTTGCGGCTGTGTAAAACATCAAATCCAAGTATAAAGTCTTTTCCCGGAAGATTAGACCCATATACTTTAGATTTAATCATATATCCTGGAAAGAGTTGGATATAGATGGGCTTACTAATAAGTAAGATGGTGAATGTCTAGCCATTAGCTGCTCTGAACGCCATCGAGCATGGTTCCCAATGAGAATNTGGAAGTATATNTGGCTTTATGATGGAAGATGCAGCTCNTGTGTCGAAATAAGCTATGACCGGTATGNGCTTGTCATATTTGCTGGGGAAAATGTAGATCTTTGCATTAGGAGATGGTTGTGATAGATATGCCAAACCCCTTTCAACTGGCTGCTCTGCCTTGCAAATATCAAGCATATAGAGATCAAACTCCATAAATTGATCATCTTCCTCTTCTGTGTCAGATTCTTCAGTATTTTCTGACAAACTATCTTCTTGCTCTATTCCCATGGCTAGAATAGTGTCTTCCGTTGGTTCATCATCTAGCGAGAAGATGGACTCGACATCTGAGTCATCAATATCTTCAATTTTGGCTAGGTATCCCATGAGGTTGTCTCTTTTCTTCTTGTTTGGGCACTGTTTAGCATAGTGTCCTTTCTTTTTACAAATGTAGCATTTGTCTGACTTCTTGAAACCTCTTTGCTTCTTTACTCTGAAGAATTTCCGTTTCTTTCCTCCTGATAACTGGGGATATCTTTTGCGCCATTTGCTCTTGGGATTCTTAGCTTTTTTGTAGCTTGTTGAGCAATTACAGCTTTTTTTTCTTGCATTTGATGGAGAGTTCTGGGCGATCACATGCTTTTCCAAGAAGTTTTCCTTGCTCTTGCAACTGTTTGAAAATTTTTTGATGGTTGCATAATTTCTCCAAGGCTGCAAGCGACATCTGGTATATCTCTCCNAATGATGCTTGGTTAAGGGCCATATTCTTGAGTGACAAAACCCTTGAAGTCTCATTTCCAAGTGGTTCTGGAAGTGAGTTCAAGTAGGCCTGCTTGAGATTGACATCATCTATCCCATTTAGAGCGTAGAATCTCTTAGACATTTTTTCATAATGTCTCTCCAAATCCTTCTTCTTGTAAGAACAACATCTCATATTCAGATATTCTTCTCTTGCCTGGACGGTGTAGTGATCCCATGTACCAAGAAATTCGTTGTGGATGTGACCAATTAGAGCATCTACTGATGGTGACTGATGTATTTGCATTTGTCGGTACTCTCCAAGACTGATCCACCATTGCCGGAGGCGACCGTGGAATTTTGAGATCATCCTGTCAATGACTACAGGAAGAGTAGCACCTGGATTAAGCATTTGCTCAGTAAGCCAGGCATGTAATTCATAAATCTTGTCTCACCATTTCGCCGGAGGAATATTATCAAAAGAGAAACCAGGATGGGATTCAGTATAGGTTCTTGGACTCCCATCTGGGGGAGGTTGTGCTCCTCGAGGTTCTTGTCTATCGTCAGATATGTTTCCTCCATCGCTCTCTATATCTTATTCTTCTACAGTTTGCTCTACCATTACAAAATCTAGAATTTTAACTTCATCTTCTGAACTTTCTTGCAGGTTCTCCAACTTCTTGATCTTCTTATGATGCTTGAAACCCTCTTCTTGTTTTGCTACTTTTTCAAAAAAGTAGATATTGGGTTACTAGCATGTTCCACCATAAATTGTGCTTCACTTTCTCTGGTGAAGACCGCTCTCTTGGAATTTCAAAAATATGCGCCCGCTCTTTTGGAATTTCAGAAATATGCGCCTTTGAAGTTTCTCCTTTTTCTGCAACATTTGGTTTCTTCTCCTTCGTAATATGTTGTCTCTTAACGACATGTGTTGGCAAAAAGGAGGATGCACCAAAATAGCTTGGATCTTGGGAGAAAGATAAGGGTTGTGTTTGGGCCATATATGGTGGGTTATAAATCGGATAAGGAGTGAAGATATCATATGGAAATTGGATTTGGGTTTTTGGCTGATTCTGTAAGGAGGTTAGTTGGGCTTTGAGGTTTTTTAGCTCTAATTCTTTTTGATGCATGAGAGGGGAGGTTATGGAAACAGTAGTTGCCAGGTGGAGGAGTTCATCATGAAGAGAAGATATCCTTTTGTTGATCTCATTGATAGAAAGATCCAAGATGGATACCTTCCAGTCAATCTGACTCAATAGATGGTTTTGTGCCACCGCATTCTCTGTTTGCCAGTTTAGTGTTGCCTCAGCTGCACTGATCTGCACCGTTGAACCGTCGGGATTTTTTGTGTTTGGATTTTTGATCTTCCACGAATGTTTCATATTGCCTTGCTCAAACTCTCGGGATGGGAAGATCGACCCTTGAGAGGATGTCGGACCAAACATGTAGCAATCTTTGACATCTTCGGGCTCAGGAGTTGTTGGAGCTGATTGATTTGAATATAAAACATAATATTCAAAAAAAATTCCACTGGGTTCACCAAGAAGGCCAACTTCTGGGTCTCCTGACTCATATCGTTCCTTGAGCTTCTGTTGAGATGACTTTTTCTTTTGTTTCCTTCGTTTTGGAGTATCATCTTCATCCGACTCATTTATCAAGCAGTTTGGACAGTCACAAACATCAAAGAAGTTGTGTCCTGTGTCATCTTCGAATAAATAGATAGGGTGTCCAAGAGAATTGAAGGATTTGATTGGAACTCCCGGTAGGTACGGATTTTCTAGAGATGGAGGCTCTTCAGGTGGTGAGATCGTATTGATTTCTGTACAAAAGGCTGGAGGTCGAGAACTTGTACTGCCTTATTGTTTGAACTCTATCTGTATGGCTCCATCTTTTCTTCTGCTGATAGAGGAGTCTACCGATTGTATCGGAGTGCTGTTTTCATGAAGTTTTTCATAGTTGGTTACCCATGACTCCGGAAGTAGCTTGATCAGCTCATCTTTAGGGATTTGTCTTGGTATATGGATGCATGATGGACTGTGTTGTGACTCCAATTGTATGAGCAGTGCATCTTCTGTGTCACGTGGGAGACTCGAGTCTATTGCATGGTTTTGCACCCTATACGCCATTTGGTGGTGAAGAGTAGCGGCATATGTGTTCCCAACTTGAGGAACGCCAGTGATTTGTAACTGGATTTGCATATTTTGATAGATCTAAGGATCATCAAGCGCTATGTTGAAGTTTGGAAAAAGGGTGACGAAGACTGTGCCCGCATTTAAAGTGGTCTGGAGTCAAGGAGAGCGACTCTTGCTACCACTGGTAGACCTTTTTTCCGTGAAGAGTTAACGTCAATCTTATTGCTCCGTAATGGAGATGAGTGAAACCTTGGGATCTCCACTGATGGATCATCACCTCGTTCAGACGGAGAGGGATCAGCTGCTCCATTTCAGTTGCTGGCACCAAGTGTTGTTCCAACTGTGAAGCTAGAACAAGTTCCTTTGTTGTGTGCTTGTTAGGATTGAAGGCATGTTTTAANACTTTTGGAANGGTGGTATTTGNNTTNGTAAAGGCTTTGTAGGGATTGAGAAGAGGTAGTTGGGTGATAGGAACTTTAGTATCATCACTTACATATTCTACTTCATATACATAATCTATTTTATTAGAGGTAGATCTTCTAAAAGAGGACTGAC